GGGGGGGGCTTTGTCGAGTACAGTGCTTAGGTGGCAATCTACAGCTTCTGCGGTTCCTCCGAAGAAGGTTTGGCCTAAAGAACTACGTTCAAGGGCTTTGGCAGTTGCTAGGACGAAGTGTTGTTGTATATTCGGGAGGGGGGGAATTGGGCGTGCTCCTCCCCTATCCGGACCTCTTTTCAGAGGCGACAGTAAGGCCGGAGGCCTCCTTAGAGGGGTCTCCATGGAGGGTAATCGGCTTGTTTAGTACAAGCAAGTGAGAGCAAGTGATTTAGAACAAAAAATTTGATCTCGAAAAAAGGTTGTACGTGATTGTGTTCGCTATAAATTCGCGTTCCGAGTTTTCTTTTCTTTCCATTCTTTTTTTCTGCGCTGAATCTAAGGATAGTTTGGAAGTCAAATGGTTCCTTTTCTTTACTTTGTCGTATTGTTCTAGAGGTCGCAAGCTTGGAGTTTTGATTTCTGCTTGGTGGCTTTGGGTTTTTAATGATCAGCAGTAATTTATATGAAAGAAACAAAAAAAAAACGGGTTTTTCTTATTCGACAACTTGAGTATAACTACTCTTTGCTTATAATATCCCGCTTCAATCATATAAAGATACTATATTGTCGGTGACTGAACCTTGTGTTGCTTCATAGTGGTCGACTGTGGCAGCCAAGAAAGTCAAGGTGACAAACGCAAGATCTTGTATTGAGGATGATTTGGTACTGGGATAAGTGTTGGAAGCCTGCCGTTCGGTTCTGGATGGCCATCTAGGCGAAGGACGGCGCAGTTACAACTGAAAAGAGTGCTAGTGAATCCAGCTCATATCCCTCCAAGTGAAGTCTGCGCTTCGAATCATCTTCATTCAATTTTCTTTCTTGAACCATTGGACACTATGCACATTGTTACTACTCCATCCGCATGAATATTTAGATTTGATATGTGTTCAAGAATTTAAGTTGTAGAAGTGCTATGAACCTTGTTTTGGTGGAGTAATCGTGTCCCTTCGCTTAGGTGAAATAAATAAACAACAAATTTCGGTACGCGAGAGTTTTCCTGTGCAAGCCCTAGTGACTGTTCTTCTTACATCTTTTGGAGAAGGGCGTTTATGCTGGTATCCGAAGTATACTATTGTTGTAGAACTTGTGATATTTGTTCCTTGCCTTATTCCTTGATCAGAAATTCTCGCTCTCTTTTTCTGGCCATTCACTCAATACAATCTCACTGGTAAACATTCCATTCACCTGCATATCGTGACATCTTCCAAGTGCTATAGTGAATTTAATACATCTCTGGCCTCGCACAACCGAAAATATTATAAAACTAGGCCCTACTTCATCGACTCCTAATGACTCAAATCTACTCTCAACCCACAGCGAGCATAACAACATCATCCCCCCAAAACAAGCTTCGAATCCGCAACCCTACAGAGCCCAAACAATATGGATCTCCAACAAAGAACCTTTTTAACGGCAAAACAAATCTACGCCTATAGAATCACCAGAGGCTTGCTCTGTTCCGAATACTTCAATCCTCCACTCGCAGACACATACCTCCCGGCCATCATGAACGTCATAAAAACAGATCCAGTACTCTTGCGTCACCTAGATATAGACTACGAGGATGCATCTAACATCTTCGCTTCCGCACGCGCATGGCATATCTTCGAACCCAATATCGAGAGGCAATACGTAGCGGATGAGTATCGGAAAGAGAAAGGTCTGCCTTTGGCTCCGAGATCATATGACTTTACCATGGTTGATTATGAAGCAGCGCTTTTTTGCTGGAAAGTTAAGGATTTGGTCAAGAAGGCGATTGCGAATCGGGTCTGGGAAAATGGCAAGACATTCGTACGGTCGCCACAAGGTCACGAGGCTGGTGGGAGAAAGAGTGACTTGGATTATATGTCTTTAGCAGGACCACCACACACTCAAGAGGCTCTAACAGGGAATTTCAACTTAAATTTAATGGCTTTGGACGATGTTTCGGAGGATGAGTTGACTCTTGAAAGCGAAGAGGTCGATCACGAGATGAGTTTCTTTCATACAAATGATAATCAATACGGTCTTGCAGGATTTAGCGGGAATACGAACATAGCAACTGAAGTAGTAGCTGGGTCTAACCTTAACAACTCATTCAGTCAATCACATCAAGCCTTCCCCGGAAACGCCAACCAGCTCAACTCCCCTTTGGCACCCAACACACAGCAAGCGAACAAGAGCCAAGGAAAGCGCAAACCCCGCAAAAAGCTACAACCAAAGCAACAAAATGGACATCTCGCAGAATCGAGCGGGGATCTGAACTTGATAGCAGTACCAGCTACGCCTCCTCAATTTCCCTTCCAATCCCTACCACAACCTCTCCCAATTAAGCGAAACGAGTACCCATTCTCAGCAACCAAACACTTGATATTCGAGAAGGGCTATGAGGGAGTGACTCAACACTACAAAGACAAAGCACCGCATGATGACGAGGTCCGACAGTTCTTCGAGGAAAGAGAGAGTCGTCAACAAGCGGAATATGAAAAGAGACTTCTAGAATGGCTCCTGAGCAATCAATAATTGGAGCTGGGGGTACTGGCGTGACGTGGTGATTTAGAATTAGGGCTTTGCTATGTATTTATGTATTTTGAGATAGGTACTGATGGGTTCATGCTATTTCTAAGTATAAGCCGCTTGCCGTATATCAACAAGCAAATGAAAAGAACCCCCGAGAACTATTCTTCCCACAATCTATATGTGATTACAAAAATCTTTCTTCAAACCCCCGACTCTGCTCAATGCCCTAGGCCCAGGCCAAGAGCACCCTCCTTTCTAAATGCCCATTCTAGACACATTTGAATCTTATTCCCGAATTTCCCGGTTTTCCTGTCCCGTCCTGAAAAGTGTAAAAGTGTAAAAGTGTAAAAGTGTAACTTATAAAAGTGTAAACACGAAATTCCATACCACCCAAAAAGAAAGAACCCACAGCGACATCATGACATTAACCGTAAGAAGCAACAGTTGTCACATTCTCCTCCACCCTCCCCCTTTCCGATGTCGGCATACAGAAAAGCTTTCAATAATTCCAAACCATCCAAAGCAGCATTTTAAAAGGGGTGGACAATTAAAGCTGGACACTGTCGCTGATCATAGTATGTCTGGGTCCCGATTTTTAGCTAAACCAGCGGTTCAAAGACTTATATCTAGTCGATATAGACTTTTTCCACATATGATCTACGTGACAGTGTCCAGCATTGACTGTCCACCCCCTTTATTTACATTCTCACAAGAACAACCTTATCACTCAGTACATCTCTACAATTATCTACATAATCCACAACCCCCCAACCATTCCCTCGGAGCCCCTCGCCACCCAAACTACAATCCAAATCCCTCTTTACTCAAGTTCAGGACAAAATCAAATCATAAGTACGGAGTACATGACCGATCATCTCGCAGCATGCAATTCCAATTTCAGTTGAAATGCCTATGAGTCCTTCCCCCTAATATCCTCATCAATACGTGAAGCCAACAAGCATACCAGAAACAACTAGACAGGCGATCCCTGGAAAACTATCATTGGAGACCCAACTCCACAAAAGAACCGTTCTGTCGAAACGAAACGAAACGGTTGAGTCAAGGCTTAATTGGTAATTACCGGGATAGCCCAGGTTGACAACTTGCGATGTGTTCCTGTTATGGTACCTGGAGAAGGAGGCGGAGTAGGTTGCCATACCAACAATACGAATCAATTTTTCACGTCCTTCAGAGGGTTATCACAATTAGAAATCGTTGACTACCTTATATATTCAAAAGTCGAAGATGTCGGGGACGGTCAGTGGAAATTTCACAAATCTAGATAAATATAATGAGTAGAAAAATTGTTATTTATATATAATACCACCAGAGGCCTCATTCCTCCATCGCTACTCGATACAGAAAGAATATTCAAGAAGGGCCTTCCCACCTTCTAAACAAAAAAAACAGATATGCTGGCTAGCTAAAAACACAAAATTCAAATTTAACAAGTGAGCAACTGAAAAGACTCCAGCCTCTCAATGCATGCCCTGTCTGGATAAAACTCCAAACCATATAAACATCGCAAATAAGCAAAAATATTATACAATGAGGCCGTAAAAACCGCATCATGCAGCCGAGGATCGGCTACGAAGCAAATGCGCGAACTTGTTAAACAATAACCCGCCAAACGCCGGTAGAGAATATGATATGATCGACATAAGAAATCATCATCGACACTAAGGACGAGGGAGCAACGCTAATGATAAACGAGTTGTGCGCCATCCCTACGATGTACCCAATTGGATCTTGCCATGGGGACACTCACACTCATTAATATTACTCCTTCGTTCTAAGGCGATGCTTTTGTAGAGGATTAAAATCCGTTCATCTCCTTCTCCTTCTGGGCAGCAGCTCGGGCAAGCATTTGCTGCACGACGAATGGAATTCCTGCATTATTATCCGGTGGCAGTGGTTCCGCAAAACTCGCCTTTTTCTTTTTCGCTGCTGGCTGTGGCGAATGGGGCCGTTCCTGTTGTGAATGGGTTGGTGTAGGAGAGAGATTTGGAGGGGAGGTGTTGGCAGGAGAAAGGTTACCATTTTCCTCTCCCTGCTCTGGGGCCGAATACTCAAAGTCCGAAAATTCATTGCCCTTGGAATCCTTCTCCTCGCCGGATCCATCACCTTCTGCCCCGTTTTCATCCCCATCGTCTTCCTCGTCGGCTTCGGCGGTCGAAATTTCAATGGTAGGAACTCTTGTAATAGTTGTTGCAGCTCCCTCTCCAGAAATCGCCTTCGTCAAACTCGAATTTCTGGAATAGATTGAGACAGGGCGTGCGCCCTTTTCAGCATTCGGCGTAATGAGAACTCTAAACCGTTTCGCGATCAATCTCAGCTGCTTCTTTTCTTCTTCCGTCTCCCACCCATCACCCATCTTGGTATTTTGGCCCGGCAACTCCAACGTAACTTGAAATCCCTGGCGGCGGAAAAGTTTATTCCATCTCTTGATCTCTCTCATCAATTTACTACTTTCGTAGAGCATCTGCTTCTTGGCTCCCTTGATTACTTTGCTCTTGTGAAAGCTCCATGTCCATGCCAAGATAGGAACGTGTGTGATGGTTGGCACGTCTGCGGCTTCGATGATGCAGGAGCTGAAATCGTTCCATTCTTCTTGCGTGACACCGAACTTGAAGAGTCGCGTGTCGTATGGAAAGCCGGACGGTAGAGCGTCAGTCTTGGTAGGAATGCGCATGCGCGGGAGGACGGGGCGCGGGAGTTCATTTGCAAAGGAGATCTTGCGCAAAGAGGGCGAATAGGCGGAAGTTGGACGACTAGGTGTTTGTTGTATTTGTAGAGGCCCTCGGTCTAGTTGACTGGGGAAAGATATTGGGCGCTGGAGAGGAGCAGGCGGCCGTTTTCCGCCTGCTGTCGTTGATTTCGTCGATCGGACTGAGTGGATGGAGGCATTTCGTTTGGGGGCGGCGCTGGAGAGAGGTATTAGCAAAAACACAGCTTTAAGAGAGTGTAGTTCACACATACGCAGCATTGTTGATCCTCGCGTTCCTTCTCGTGTTCTCCTCGACGCTCGAGAGTCTGCCCTTCCTCTTGGTGTGATGTCCCTCCTCCAATTGATTCAGCGCAGCGAGTACGTCCGTCATGCTGCCTGTGCTTGTGTTTGTGTCGCCTTCGCTTCCGGTATATACTACCGTAGGTGTGTGATGGCGACTGTGTGTTGAGAGTCCGGCCCTTCACTTATCTTGTCATAACATGTTCTGCGAAAGTGCCAGTCTTTGGGAGAAGAAAGAATAACAAAAAGAATAATACAAAACCCTCGGCCTCGGAACTTCGTCACTTCCTGTTTCCCAGAGTTGAGGAGAGCCTCCGTACTTCGTATATGATTGATGATCGGTGAAAACATTGGTGCACAGCCCTCCGATTAGTCAGTGGCCTTGGCATTCGATCTCGCTTCCCTTGGCGCACGGTAGACGCTCAAAGCGGCAGCAGAGGGGATGGCTTTTCATCCTTCACTTGCTAGGTGACTTAGCTAATCGATTTAATGATTCTGGGTCAGTGACTAGTATTTTGAGTGCTTTAGATCTCTTGGAGTATCTAAATAACCATTTTCAATGATTTGAATCATCAGAAAAGCTGTGAATTACCTCGCCGATTCAGAACAACAACAAACCGCAATTTACCCCTCTAAAAGCGGCAGTTAGCGGCTCGCAATACGAGGTGGATTTCACGGACTATTGAAGTGGCTCTCCCAAATACGTCTCGTTCGAGTGTTGAGAGGCTAAGAGCACGCATAATGGTCTACTTCTTGTCCTAAAGAGGGGTATCAACTGCGGAGTAAAAATGAAATCGAGCCGCTTTAATTGCCCGTTGCGATCCGTCTGAAGCATGATTGACCGCCCAAGTTTGAGTCAGCATGAGAGTTCGGCATCAAGCAAGTGGAAGGCAGAAGAAGGTTTTAGAATTAAGGGAGTCATTGGCGATTGTTAAGTATAAGAATAAGAAATGGAAATGACTTAAAAACGTGTCTTCTGCTTAAACGCGATATTTATGCATTGCCTTTAGGACAATGTCAATGTCAAATGGAGGTAACTTTCAGGTGTTCATACTGTAGAAGTCTACACATCCTACGAAAGTACTGGCCAAGTTCGTTAGATACAGAAAGTCGGGTGGGATTGAGTTTCGGTAAATTCTTGGATGATATCAGACAAGACATTACTCCGCCCCCTTTTTAAACGAATTGCTCGGTTAATCGTGGGACATATAGTTCATGCAGGTATACTAGTGACGATGTTCTTAGTATATATGGAGCATTTATGGTAACAATTTCTGAGAATCCAGGTGTTGTCAAAAGCATTCAATTGGGCTGACTATTTGGCATACGCAACATGAAACGCCACGCTCTAAGCAGGAGTATTACGACCCAAAGCAGTAAAGTCATTGTCACCAATATCACCCATCTGCTTAGGCATTCCCGCCATCTCACTTGCATCCGCATTGTCCTTCACAATCTTATCTAAAGCCTTGCGTCCAGGATCGTTTCGTCCACCAATATCGCCGTTGAAGCTAGCATTGTTGCCCGCTCCTCCCTCGAAACCCTCCGTCAGATTCTCTCCCTTGGGACCCTTTGAATCCACGAACTGGCTAGAGACGTAACTCGGCGCAGTGCGCGCACTGCCTCTCTGTCCACCGGAAGCACCAAGTTTCTTCTCTTCCGCCCAGTCGGATTCTGCCTCTCTGGCTTCGGCGTCCACAGCTGGGTCGAGGCGAGTTGCGGAGGAGGTATCCCTGTTTGTGAATATAGAGTTGGAGCCTTTGGCTCCAAATGGGTCGGTATCTCGATTGGAGGCGAATCCACCGCCTGCGCGGGCGGATTCTGCGGCGAGTGAGTCTGAGACGACAGCTCCTGCTCCTTCTTTGATGACCGGAGCATTCGGGTCAGTGACCTAATCTTGCTGTTAGCACCTTGTGCTTTTTGCTTTGGTTTGTTCCAGCTAAATAACCAAGTCCATCTGGAGCGTTAACAATCAAAAGAACAGGAAAGAGAGCCTCACCTTCTGTCCGTGAGTTGGATTTCTAGTAGACATCTTGATAGTACGAGCAGAATACGTGAAGGAATTTGATTTTAGATGGTTCAGTTGGTGTATATTTTACGAAGACTTGTAAGCTTGAATGACGCAGCGAAGGTTGAAGTCACTACAAGTATGTCTTCATCAGCCTCCAACCGCATGACATCACTTCCAGAGGTTCGAGCTGGTGGAGGTTTCGGATGGTATGTGGCTTGAGACACGCCACAAATAAGAAGCGAACTATTGTTTGCTGCGGGGAAGAGGACCAAATAATCAGAAGAACAAGTTAGTAAGAATTAATACAATTAATCGATATGGACAGACACTTCCAGATATTTCGATATGCTTACAGATGATATGATGAGATCAGATATGAATTTGTGAGGAACTTGTTGGAAGGATCCTTCCACCAAAAGTTTCGGGCACGTGAAGACCAAATTTCACTAACGTCAACGTCATTGCCACTACATATCTCCATCAAAGTTTTCATACTTCGAACAATTTGGCTGCCGCAATGCTACACTTCATATACAGCCCAATTCCTTAGAGAATACTCTACCCAATCTGGAGGAAGCATACCTCTTTAGAAAAAGATATTGGACGGAGATCTCAAGATGGACCCAGGTACTATAATTATGTGGAGTCCAGTATTACCAATTAAGTATCCAATAAAACTCTTGTTGTAAATAAGCTTGTAACAATCTATTTAGGTAGCCAAGCCTCATTCCATTATCCAGGCAAGACACCAGATAATTCCACGCTGTTAGCAATCCACTAGCTTCATTGACAGGTTTCCACACTAAGTAAACTAATTTGCAGTCTTTGGCATTGAAAAAGAGTGGTCTATCTATCACATGCTTCTTCATATGTTGTTTCGGAGCTCTGGCTTCAACTTCACAATATGGGTCACCTTATTAAACCCCTATTCTAGCCACTTCCAAACCGTCTGAGCTACTTGCAATTGCGATGAGTGTTAAGATGTCGTGACTTTGAGAATCAGTGGAATAGATATTTTCAAATGACAATCAGCCGCCAAAGATCAGGCCACCTCTAGTTCTCTTTACGATATACAAGCACTTCTATTCTTTTGCTCAGTTTGGGGCGTGCTGGTGGTGGCATGATGGTAGTCCCAACAGTGGTTTCATAATGGCTATACAATTAAAATACAAATAAATAGAGAAACAACAACACTCTTCCTCTCTTCCACTCTTCTACAGCCCCTGAGCTCTAATGGACTGGCCCCTTTCCAGCTCCATTCCAAGCCCTTTGCTCTCATAACTGGACTTAATTGTCCCTCTTGTTGTTGCTTGGGCGTACCAGGGCCTTCTCTCTGTACTTTCGAACGGTCGTGGCAGCATTATAGGCTGGCGCCTTGACTGCTTTCTTTATCTTCCACCAAAGGAACTTTGGGTCAACAGGCGGGGTCGCTTCTCGCTTGTGGTTGCTTGGGCGGACCATGGCCTTCTCTCCATTCTTTCGAATAGCTGTGGCAGCACTATAGATTGGTTTTTTGACTGCTTTTCCAATCTGCCATATAATCTTCTTCGGGTTGAATACTTTTTTGGGGGGATTTGGTTCAGGCTCCGTATCCATCAGGTATTGTGCGGCCAAACCAACAGGTGGGAATTTAACTGAATTAGGGGGATACTCGATATTATATGGATATCATTAGGTTCTCTGCGTCCCAAGGGTTTTGTACTGAAAGAATCTTCGTTCTCATCCTTAGCGCTAATTAATCCCAAAGAATTTGCTAGATATCAGAAATCCTAGGAAAAAAATGTAATATTTTTAATAGAAACTAGAGTATATAGACAAGGATTACAAGATTCTACGCTGATTGTCGCCTAAGGAATTTGCTCTGAGAGTATTTTCTCGTTTATATCCTTGGTATGTCCGCGCCCGACCATATCCTTCAAGTTCCATCGAGTTTTTTCTGTACCGTTTTGAAGGAGATGGACATAAGTTACTCACATCGGAAACCTACTACCGGGTGTAGTAAAACATTCTAGAAATCATGGAATGTGTTCAGCGAAAAAAGAGCACATGGAGCTCTTAAGTTTATTGTGGAGCAGAAAACACATTTCTAGCCATTAAGCTTCTTCTAAAAGGCATCGCTCCATTAACCCTCACGGGCCACGGTAGTTCGTTTATCCAGGATTTGACAGCCGCGCGAGCACGTTCCTACTCAAGGCTCGAACTCGATAAGTTGAAGTTAAACACTTCTCGTAAAGTTGTAAACTCAACTTTTGGTATGCCCGGGACGAAGTAGAACCTTGCCAAGTTCAACTTACTAGGTAGGTACGGTAGATAAATCGTAGTAATGACCCCCTCCTCCCCATCTTATTCTCGAGGATTCTGTCTACATTCCCACCACTGTCAAGTTCATTCTCTTCTTAAGTTAAGCCGCATTTTTGAAGCTTTTCAGTACCTTAATGGCGAATATCTTCAGAATTATCGATTCGCTTAGCCCCAATTTGCGGCGATTCCAGCGAATCGGAGATTCACCTTACGGAAATACACGCTTTTGTACATACCGGTACGAGGTATATTTTGCCTGGCGGTATGTATCATTGAGTTGCAATGAGACCCTTGTACTGAGATTGGAGAACAAGATTGGGGAGGTTATTATCTGATTGTCGTCCACCAAAAAATATAGGGCATGTCTCCTGGTGGACACCAAGAAAACCCACGAAACCAAATACCACCACGTAGTAAGTTTGTAAAAACAAAACAAAAGCACTGTAAGATCCAGAGGTTACCACATAGCCTATATATCAAGTTTAAGGTCTTTTCAATTCGTGTACGGCAATGTATCTTGACTTAGGTTGGCTTGCATTACAACTTTCAAGTTTCCGTGTTGCTGCACGTGATGTTAAATTTTTCCTAACGTCATTCCATTGCCACTGCACCTCTCTGCTGACATCAACCCTTTTCTTTTCTTCCAATGGGATTAAACAGTTGGCATCATTACCTGGGCATAGCGGAGCAAGCTCCGAAATTTCGTGGGCCGTAGTTTCCACTTGGGAAGGAGGGTTGCGATGCTAAGCAGGTACCCCGAGAATCAACACAACAGCTTCAAATCGCATCCACCTCACCAGGGAAGGAGATATTAATGCAACCTTCTTTTCAAAGAATCAGACAGCAAAAGTCAAACATAAAACAGAAACAAAGACAACAATAAAATCCCATTCATTCAAACCCTTCTCCCCATCCTTCACACTCATAATATACACGTAGTATCACCTTCCACAACAACCTACTTCGCCAAAGCATCCTTAGGCAAACCATCCAATCCCTCCTTCCCCTGTCTACCCACACCACTCAAATCCGCACCTCCTTCCTCTCTCACACCACTGCCCTTCGTCGCCGCACCACTCAATCCACTATTTCGCAGCATCGCCCGTAGACACATCACTTCCCTTGGGACCACCCGCTGAGACATTGACTGTTCGTGCATCGGCCGAGTTCCAGTCGGAAGCTACGGGTGGATCTTCCGGGAGAGGAAGGTTGGTTCGTCGTTCCTCGACGAGGCTGGCTTTGTTTTGTTGTTCGGGCAGTTTTGTGTGAGATGCTGTAGTGTGTTTGTTAGAATATGGCGAGGGAGGAGGGCGTTGAAGAGGGGGATTTACCTTAGTTTGTGGTTTTTGGTATTGAGTGTTGGTTCTGATATTGATTCTGGTATTGCTTTTGTGTTTGATTTGGATCTGATTTTGTTTGGAAGTTGGTATGAGGTTTAAATGGTAGAAGAAATGAGAAATATATGTAGAGTAACCATCGCTCTTATATCATATGAGCTGATCTTTACTCTCCATCAAAACCTGCATGCGTGAGCTCAGGAGCTTTTCCTCCGCTCAACATGATGTAATATGACGTTAAGCAGTATTCACTCGTCAAGGTTTCGGACTTGGAAAAAAATGGAGTATGAGAAAACTGACAACAAAGCTATGGAAAATCAAGAACCGAAAATGGGGTCTCTCAACATCATCTCCAAATTGGTATCGTTAATCATCCATTTAAAAACTCCCGCCCTGACCGCCCATGCGGATACCTGACGCCCAAATGAAATGCAAGATTTCAAATTCCAATTCATGATACACGATTATCCCCCTCCTCTGTAGCTGCATTACCTGCATCTGAATTTAGGTAATCCGCATTCTCGGCAGCCTCATACTCTGAAATCAGATCGGTGACAACTTCCTTTGCTTCATCAAATTCGTCATAATTGTCTGAAAAAGGAGCGGTTCTCTTGTATCCGTCCAAAAATGCACTTCGCTTTCGCATACCATCATATTGCCTTACAATTCTCTTGAACAGCTAGAAACAACAATTAGCCTGCCGTATTTGAGGACTCTCAAAATTTTGACTTACTGTTGCTATGCTCGTGTGGTTTGCCAACATGAGGCCGCTTACTCGGTGGCTCATCGGAATATATGGACTCTTCTTGGTGAGCGCAACTTGAATACTTGCTGGACCCCATGGAATAAACGTCGCCAGTTTTCGTTCTCTAATACGGAGCAGACTTTTGTGAACGTCTGTAGGATCAACATCTCCTTGAATTACGTTCAATATTGAAATATAACAACTTTTCTTTCCAGGAATAGTCGAAACCATCCTATTCTTCGGCTGGAGAAGACGACGCATCACATCCAATACAGTTGTTTTACGAACAGTCTTTGCTTGTTCAACACTGTCGCCAGTGAAAGGAGTATACGATGTCATAAGGAAATGACATCTAGGCGTTGGTATCAAGGCAGCAACGATACTGACTAGATCGTTATGCATGTAACCTGGATATCGAAGTGTTGTGGTACTGGCTGACATGACCGTTGATACCTGTTGCATGTAAGTAAATATTCCCCTGAAGTAGCTTGTAAATCCTACCAGTTGGTTTGTTTGCTGGAATGATGGTTCTTGAACATGTAATCTGTCTGCTGCAATTCGTGAGAGAGCACCGTTATCGAGCACTACTACCGAATCGGCATTCTGGGTGAGTCTCCGCATCGACAGCAAACTGTTATATGGATGAACTACGACATCTCCTCCGCCTCCCGCATTTGTTGTATCTGGGAATACAGAATAGGTCTGTATGATCTTCTTGGGAAAGCGGTCGTTTAATCTTTCGAGGAGAAACGAGCCCAATCCGGAGCCGGTTCCTCCAGCTATGGAGTGAAGCATCATGAAGCCCTGGACTTGTCAGTGTATGTTCATGGACCAATTTTGATGTCTTGTACACACCTCAAGAGAATCACTCCCATCCGCCTCCCGATCAATCATCTCCATGATTTCTTCGTGGACTGTCTCACCCGTTTGGTAACCATCTCCCCAGTTGTTTGCTGCCCCCACACCATTTTTACCGACGAAGAAGTTTTCGGGGTTGTAGATATTCTTGTAGGGGCCATTTTGTATCGTAGCAAGCACCTATGAAATTGTTAGCGCATATTCAGAATATGCTCGTAACCGCCCTTGTTCACATACTCGAGGTTCCAGATCAATTAAGATAGCTCTTGGGATATATCTGGTATCGTCCGACTGGTAGAAGAAGACATCTTTTCGGTCGCCTCCTTCCCTCGCAAAGTCCTCGAGGTTGCCATCCTGACTAATTCCGTGTTCCTGGCACAACTGCTGCCAGAATTGACTACCAACTACACAAATCGAATATTAGAACTCGAAGTGAAACGAGTAATTGGTTCATAGAAATACTCACTGCTGTTGCCGCATTGTCCAGCTTGAACGGTGATGATTTCTCTAAAGACGGTCAGTCTGAGAATTTTTGAGGATTGGCAACAGATTTCAGAACTAACCTAGGCATTATCTGGACATTTGTTCACAGCAAGGTGGGCACAGTGGAAATGTAGAGAAAGGTCGAGTGAAGGCACAACTCTTCGAGATCAGTTTACAAAATGCCCAAAACAATCCCGTCGTACTGGATCGACCCGTCGCGCTTTCCGCGGGGTCGCGTCCAAGTGGGTCCGTGCCGTGCTAGCGCAATACCCCTGTCACTCTAGCACTTTGCCTAGATAGGCTCACAGCTACCTGAAAGTAAATACTTCCGCGACAAGACAACTCTGACCTGGAGAATTGGCCTTGTCAACACCAGCTCCTACCACGAAACAACTCACCATCGCGCTCCTTACCACGGCGCACTCTTGCCAATCTCCCCAGCCTATAGCGGTGTCTTGAATCAGCTGCCTCCCCCTAATCGCATACACATTCGCAAAGATGAGTTACGAAGTCCCATACTCATCCAGTCCACCCGAGACTCCAGAACGAGGATCCGGCGGTAGCAAGAACATATTCGCAATGTCGAATCCCTCAACTACTCCTGCGGGCCCTCCGCCATCCTCTGCGAATTCTTTTACACCCAGTGGTCCACCACCTAGCTCATATCTGGGGAGCTCTATCAATCCATTATCTTTCACCCAAAAAAGCAACTACGAACCTCCGCAGCCCAATTTTGATAGTCCTGGATCCTCGTTATTCGCAGACTCGATGCGCTCAAATGCTCCACGCCGGACTGCTTACGACAATAATTCTCCTCAACGTGGCTACAATGCTTCATTGCAAGAAAGCGAATATGAAGACTATGAGGACGATGAAGACATGACCGAGTACAACGAGGAGGAAGACGATACTTTTCATCAAAGTCGAAGAAGCCGGAATGCAAGAAGTGCCCGCGAAGCTGATGCGATGGGGGAAGACGACCCCGACGCGCAGTACGAAGACGATGAAGATATAGATTACCCAGAGGAGCTGCCGACTTCAAAAGCTAATAACCGGGCCTATGGGCAACGAAGCATTTCAGAATACTCGGTAGCGAATCCTGGTACTCTAAAACGAAGTATTGAAGGGGGCGCATTGGATTTTGGGGGGTCTGTTGGGGGGAAGCAAGAAGTAACCACCTTTGGAAAGATTGCTAGGGATATCTATTCTCAAATTCGAATACCAGAAGTGGATGAGTCGGATGATGTGGTTCTAGGAACAGAAGCCATAGTTACGAGAATCTACCAGGAAGGACTTGAAGATGGTGGAGACCCGGAGCAGCTCCAGTCTAGTTTGATGGAAGCATGTGGAGATTTGACAATACTATGGGATGAATACGACGCAAAATCCGGTTCACATGGAGATCAAGAGTATACAGCTGCCATTGGACCGGGGGATCGAGCTCTTAGATTCTCAAAAGCAAACTTTTTAGCAGGGCTTGCTCTGAAGCTCCATCACCCAACCCCAATCAGTACCCCGAGAGGAAATAAAGCTAAGCCAATGCCAGAGGTTTTGATTGAATGGATGGATCTATGTCATAATCCCGTTGGATCGCAACTCGAAGACCTTCAAAGTTCGAAACTCCGGAGCCCGTCAGCTCATCCAGAATTCTGGAATATACTATTTAACAATTTCCTTCGAGGTAACGTCAGAGAGGTGTGTGAGTTGCTCGCCCGTTCAAAGTGGGAGTATGCCAACGTGGAGCTTGATGACCATCAAGATTCATACGGTCAATCAGGTTACTCTGGTCAAGCTTTAGCCAATGTGAAAAAAGCCGTGGGTGCTACCATCGATGTGCTCTCACAATGCCCAGGTCTCTCAGGTGACTGGAACACACAGGGAAGCGACTGGACGCTCTTCAGGCTTAAGGTCTCCCAGGCCATGGATGATTTGAAGGCTTTTGCTGAAGGTAAGAATAAAGAGGGTCTTAATGAAGATCGTGGATTTGGGCGATCATCTACAGCCAATCCAAATTCATACAGTAGAATTGCCGAAAGAGCAGCAAGTCAGGTTCCATGGCACATATTTCAACATCTTGTCATCCTTTTCAATATCGCCATGGGGGATCGGGTTGCGATTGTCGAGAATGCTCAGGATTGGTGTGAAGGAACTGTTGCGTTGACTGTGTGGTGGGACGAAACCAAGGACGATAGAAGAATAGCTCTAGGTCGGTCAACCCGTGCTTTGCAGGTTCCGTCAAAAGAGATGGAAATTGAGTCATACTTCCGCAAGCTCAGGAAATCCTTTCAGCTCGCTGTTGGAGCCAACGTGGACTTTGAAGTTGATACTTTACGTCCGATAGAGGTTGGACTGGCATCAATCTTTGAGGGAGACTACGAAGCGGTTTTGGGTCTTTTACGAGCTTGGTCTGGTCCAATTTCATCAGCAGTCGCCGAAATCGCGACCATTGGGGGATGGTTACCAGAACCAGAGCAACCGGGGCTTATGGAAAGTTTAGATCAAGATGACATGGATCTTCTTGGAATCTCGGCTCCTGGGAAGCCTGATGGAATCAAGGATCAGACATTAATTGCATACGGGAGAGGTGTGGCCTTTCGTGGAGAATTACAATCTTCCAAAACTTTGGGTCAGCAACCAATTTCTAGAGAAGGTTGGGAAGTGGCCATCGCTGTGTTGGGTCGTCTAGATTCGGCAAGTCGCTCGGAAAATATGGTGGGAGAGTTTTTAAAAGACTTTCCGCTCAAGTCACCAAATACTGTCAACAAATTATGGGTGTTACTCAACAACATCGGCATGGGAAGTCATGCCGAGAGTTCGGCAGCAGTAAGTTTTATTTCTACTATGAGTCAATTCTGAGTTTGACTGATATTTTCCAGGCTTATGCCGATTCCCTCGCCGAAGGGTCACACAACTATGGCGAGGCGATGTGGTACTACGCTCTTTCTCACAAGTCGGACAAGGTGAAAGATGTACTCGACCTATTAATTTCATTTTCCCTTGTCCAATCCACGGCATATCCACCAGAAGCAGACTTGGATGAGTATCTCAAAAGCCTAATCTCATATCCTAAAACCTCGTTGGTTGAGTTATCTCAGATGGATTATGATGCGGCCGAACTTTTGCGCAATTCGCTTAGTGGATACGCAACGTTGCGTAAATTCTATGATCTTCGCGATGAGGAAGTTTTGTTTACCAAAGCCAAGAAACCTCGGATGGGAGCTGTTGCTAGAAAACAAGAAGCTGCAAGAGCGTTGATGGCAGTAATTACCAGTTCAGGCGACAATATCAGAGGAGGTCTTTACGACGAACAAAACGGCGCCATCGTCAGTGTTGATTTCCTCCTAGCGCTGCTCGGCGAAGCGATGGTCTTCGTCAACCAACCAACACCCACCATCACCGTCTCCCAAATCGAGATCCTCCTCCGCGCCATCGAGGATCTCCAAACGGTCGGATCAAGGGTCTACACCGCCTGCACGGAGTTCCTACAGACCGTCATTGCATCCGGACAAGGCATGAAAGGTTCCTCGCCTCATGATATGCTGAGGAAATCTACGTCGGCTGCTAGTGGTACCAGTAGCTTTTCTATGGTGGGCAGCTCCATGTTGGCAATTCAGATGAAGATGTCTATGGGGAGTAGTGGGGTGTTGGTTAAAGGGGGCGTGAAGCGTGGATGGGATTGGAGAAGGGGGATCTCGGCGACGACGACGGGGGAGGAGGTGTTGCAGATTTTGAGACTTGGGTTAGCGAGGGATCTTGCGAGGGCGTGGTTGAGGGAGGCAGATGGGGAGATGTAGGATTGTGATTTGATATCTTTTTTTCTTTCTTCTGGAATCTGGAGAAGACGAAAATAAAAGCGGTTCTTGTGTTGTTTGTTTTGTGTTTTGTGTAGCTCTTTTTATTCTGCATTGGATGGCGCTTCTATACTCGGGGGAAGGGGGGGTAAGATAGTATTTGATATTGTGTTAGATGGGAATAAGAGGTTTCTCATGTAATAATATAATTGTCGTAACATCCACACGTTGTTTGTTCACGTGACCCTGGCATATAAACGTTTGTAGACTAGCTAGCTATAGGTACCTCCTCTTCTCTAATGATACAAAATCCTGGTTTAACTAGAGCTCGTCATTACCGTACCGCAGTAGCTCATCGTTAACATCTACATCCTCTACAGTAATGAAAAAAATCCCAACATAACATCCTTCATTCTAGATTAACGAACCAACCAACCTTCTCACTTCTCCTATCCCTCCCTCCCTAGGTAGAATCTTACCTGATCATTAGTATATATATATACATATATCCTATCATTGTCAATGTCCATGTCATTCTCTCCCTTATAATCTCTCTCTCTACTTCTTTCTCTCTCTCTCTCTCTCTCGCTCTCTCTCTCTCTCGCTCTCTCTCTCCATCTATTATAATCTATCTCCCAAGATCTTCCAACTCAAATTAGCATTTAAAGACGCTAAAGTATAAATTTTCTTTAATTTAAATTAATATTAAAAAAACAAGCCTACTCTATCTAACCTTATTACGATACCTAGCTCTACCCTTTGTATACGATATCTATCTTACTTCTTCCTTCTATCTTCTCTCAATACAACTACTCCATACAAAAAACCCATTCCATTCCACTTCACCTCTCCTACAAATCCCCATCCCAAAATCCCAAAATCCCAAATCCACCTACCTCTACACCTATATATCCCTATAATATCGACCAAATCCACCTCCCTCCACTTCCACTTCCCCTTCCACTACTACTTCTACATACTAACCCACCCTCCCGGTGGACAAGAAAAGTAGCAGAGATTTTTTTTTTTTAACTATTAGCGTAAGTTAATTCCAAGTACTAAAATATTAAAAATATCTAGAACAATTACCCTTATTGTCCTATCGTTTTCGACAATCATTTTACCTAATTGTTCTAAATAGATAATATAATATAGTGGTTTTTAGTTAAGTTACTCTAGGAGAAGATAAAAGAGATCTCTGCCACTTTTCTTGTCCACGGGGAGCCAGCCAGCTAAGAAAGAATATACCCCTCCTCTGAGTCCTTCCTCGAGCTCGTTTCAGAAATAGATAAATCCCCACAGAGAGTCTGTGGGAGAAGTGGGGTCTACACCAGGATAAACTTACTTCGTAGTACCTATCCCTGGTACAAGACAGGACAGGTCCCCTACCGTAACGCTTTACCCCTTGTTTTAGAAATTTAGAAAGAAAAAAAAAGGGTAAAGGGTGTTTTTGGGAAGGTATTTAAGGTGGAGAGGTGGATATAGATATGGAGATGAAGGGAAGGTCACGAGGTGTGGCGAATGTTATTGTATAGAAATATATGGAGATGAAGTAAATTTGCATGCATTATTAGGAAGGAGGTCGAATGTGGAATTGTATTATTATTTACTTGTACAAGTAAGGTAAAGCTTGAGTGGGGAGGTACGGGTTCGGTTCGGTTCGCTAGATTTGGAGAATATTACTTCATGATAATTTGTATTCTACGATATCTAGATACGATTTTCACATGTACTTTTCCTTGTAGTTTGACGGAGGTAGGTAAACAGCATTTGTAGTATATAATAAACGCGCGTGTAGAGAAAGGAACCAGGCACCGTGAATGGAAACATCGAGGGGACACGCGAGCGAAGCGCGATGAGTGTTTACATACCCCGTACCTAGGCGCTTATATTGCATCCATTGCTTCCACTCCATGGCGTTAATTGGCCATCAAGACCCCACGATATGGTGCGTTAGCGTTAGGACTTGCCGGCGTAGAGGATATTTACGTAGCGTCGAGTGGCGTTACTGGGTACATACAGTAGCATGTACACGCCTTGTAGAAGCGCCTAGGACTGTAGGTGCAGATACGGATGCAGATGCAGATATTCAAAGTGCCTTTCGTCTGTTCGTAGCATGTATACTTGTACTTCCACAAGCGCCTAGGAGGTCCAGGTACAGAGGCAGATATTCAAAATATCCAACCTAGGCACCGTATCCACCCCACCGTATACAAACTCCAGATTCACAATTTTTCTTTTTCTTCCCGAAGACGGAAGAACATTCAAGTCTGATGTCTTCTACCGGTAGACAACCAAGTAATTTACCGCACTAGATTCGTTTCTAGGAGTATTACTTCCTTCTTCGATGACGCAGATCGGAGCGATGTTGTGCTGTCGACACTTTAGGGCATGAAAGGCGGATTCGTGGGTTGCATAATTCGGAGGCATTGGATGACGGTAGGCGGGCGGGCTCTTAAAGGGTATATTTGTTCTCGCGTACTCCTGCCTACACTACAACTGTCCACCACCCCACCTGGGCTGCCCTGGTCCCGGACGCATGACGACGAGACGTTGAACGCTGGATCTGAACTCTGTGGGGAGGGGGAGTAGACGCAGGAGTGGAAGGAGGAGCAGTCGGTTTGAGCAGGATATATTTGTACGATGTACTTCTATGAATAGATTTCCGATCCAGATCCAGTCCACTGCAGCATATGCTGTTGTAATTTGTGAGGCTATGGAGAACAGAACATCATATACAGATGTCAACGTACGAGTACTGTACTGTATGAAGATGGCCAACGGGTCGTCGAGACACGACACATGTACATGGCATGGTATGGCGGCGTATGAGTTAGGTACCCAGTAAGGAATGTACAGTACGGAGAAGACGCACTGACTACGAACTATTTTTGTCTGGGCGTTCTTTTTTGTTTGCTCCTGGACACTCTGTAATCCAAATTACTTGTCCCCTACTCTCTTGAATTCTGGTCATTCCTACTCTCTTGAATTCTGGTCATTCTACTATTATAGGTATAGTATCTCTACGGGGACGGAAAAAACTTCCTTTTTTGTTCCTCCTAAATTACACTTATTGTCGTACCTTTTAAACACTAAATTACTATAACGTAACTAAAAAGATATACAAATATTAGTAGAAATATAAATAGGTTCATTCTAAGTCTGCTAGTATTTTTTATATATTTTTCCGAGTTATATAGAGTAAGAAATCTGTTGTATAAAATAGTGTCTCCTTAGTACAAATTCGGAAGTTTTTTCCGTCCCCGTAGAGAGCATCTTCATACAACGTACTGTAGGCAAATCCGTTATACACATGTTATAGTCTAGTTCTACAAGCGAGGTTCATTAATTATTCTTTAGCTTCCTACCTACCATGCCTTGTAACAGACACATAACCAGTTCTCACCAATGGTATTCCGATGATTCCGATGGTACCAAAATCAATCCAACCGAAACCATTAAAATCCTCGCATGTGAGAAATTATGTGGTTGGGTCGGGTGGTTCCAGGAAATCGGTTATGTCACGCGGTTTTTGGGGTATGTTTTCCTTTTTGTATGTTCACAGTACATCTGTTTCTAATCTTTGTTTTAGTCGCCGTTTGAAAAATGCATCTCTGCTTAGGATACATGTAAGGAAGGTTCATGGCTTAGCACCGATTCCTACTGCTCGCGGTGGCCCAGGTACTGGGAAACTGTCTATGTAAGTTGGATATATAGTACGCTGGTCGTATACAAGTACCCTTGATATAACGGTATAGAAACTAATATATATATATAGATATTTAGGCAAGATGAGATTACTTTAGATCTCGTTCGCAAACGTCCTGGGGAGAATAGGGAACCTCAAATGATGTCTCTAACAAAAATACAAAAAGTGATGGAACCTACGGCGTCAACATCTTTTCTCCCGCTTCTCTCGCCCTCTCCAACAAATCCATCCTCTCCGTAGGGTGAATTGGTACTGGTACTCCTGGAGTCTGGCGGCACAGAATCACAGAATCACAGACTCCCAGTAGTCGGGATGGAGGGAAGGGCTGGCGGGCTAGAATAGGCCAGAACTTGGGCTGATCGGGACCTATGAAATTTTAATCTATTTTATCAAAAAAAGCCTCCAATCAGGGTTGATGCAGTTCTGCGTCGGATTTTCGTACATGACCTAGTGAGGACTCGTACTTGGGTGTGACAGACCGCTGGAGATGACTCCGTTTAGGAGCAAGTAAGCACTTACCAGTCTCTTCATGATGAAGTCACGTCAAGTCACCGGTCGTAGCTTTCGACACTCGTCACTCTCAAGTTAAGGTTCTGGTGCAACGAACGCTGGCCAATGGGTGCAGGCCGTCAAACGGTATCTTCCACTTCTTCCAGCCTGTGAACCCTGGCGACCTGGCTACGCTCGACTCTGGGTGCAGGCATGGCAATTTATGACAGGGCTGTAATCCGTAACCGTCCGGAGCCCCCCTACCTGTACTGAGGATTGCCATGCTCGCATGTCCTCGAACCCCTGATCTGATGGGTTCTACGAGTACTGTAGGTAGGCTCGAGGTAGGGTACCGGTACTCCGACCCAGTACCTAGACAGCCTCAAGCGTTAGATGAACAGCCAAGCCGTACGAAGTTCTCATTCTTCAAACATAACAAACTTCAACTGACTTCAACGTGTACGAAGTATATTTTGTGACGGTGGAAATGTCAATGTCCATGTTTGTTTGGTGCAGGCAGGCTCCAGCGTAAATTGAATTCAGTGATCAACCTTCTGAGATTGCTTCATCAATCCGGCCAAGTACTTCGTCGAGTCTAAGACGTGCAATTTCTCCTCTCCAAGCCCTATGCCTTACTCGGCTCCTGTGACTGGCTGATGCATTGGGGAAATGGTTGGTGCGGAAGGATTTGGCTGGCTCCAGGGCTCCCAGGCTCCAGGGCTCTACTGGTAGGGGTACAGTTACTTCGTACTTCAAAGTCCGCCCGTCTTGTCCAGGGCTGTTGGCCACTAGTTCGCACTCACTTTTTTCGTGCGTGGGCACTCTGCACTCTGGCATTCTTACAGGGCATCGCATCGCAGTGCACCCATTTACATCGTGCTGGGAAGAGAGTCGTCGGTAGTCCCTCCAAAGGCTCATCACACCGCTTCCTCTCGTCTGATAGCCATCGATTCCCTCTCCTTCTCTCTTCGTCCTCTTCCCCCTCTGCTCGCCCACGCCCTCGCCTTCGCCTTCGCCATTACCGCACGAAAGAGGTGTCGCCGTGTCCTGTTTGGAAGCCTTCAGATCCATTGCGGCCAAAAGAGTTTTCCCTCCGTCCCCCGTCACCCCCGTCACCCCCGTCACCC